AGCAGCGCGCCCCCTGCTGGCCACGGGAGCCTGGTAAGTGGCGACACCCCGGGGCAGGAGTGACTGCTCTTCTCTCACTTTCTGGTACAGACACTTGGTTAAGTCACTGACTCTCCCATTCTCCAGTCTTCCTCTTCGTCCACCCACCCAGCCCCCCTCCCCCGGCCCCTTCCGTCCACCCTTCATTCCGGGCAGTACCTACCCACCCATCTACCCAGCCAGTCCTACTCACCCCCCACCCATTCATCCACCTGTCCTCCCACCCATGTGTCTCCCATGCTCCATCAGCTCACTCACCCTACCGTCTGCTTCCCACCACTGTCCAGGCAGCCAACCAGCACCCTTCATCCCTCATTGTCTGACCCCTGCCAACCCATAGCCAACTTCTAATGATCCCAGCTGCGTGCCAGGCCCTGGGCCGGGTGAGCTCCTGGGTGTGGGCCAACCAGCCACCCTTCATCCCTCATTGTCTGATCCCTGCCAACCCATAGCCAACATCTAATGATCCCAGCCGCGTGCCAGGCCCTGGGCCGGGTGAGCTCCTGGGTGTGCGGTACTACGTAGCTCTCATGTGCTGTGCGTCTCCCCTGACCCCCGCTCCCTGGGAAAGCATCACCCCCTTTCGGCCTCCCTCACCGCACCGAAGGCGGTGACGTCCCTGCATGGCGTGCGTGTGCATCTGCCTTCCCCTCATGAGACTGAGCCCCTGGAGGGCAGGCCTCGGCCTGATGGGGTTGCAGTCGCCCAGCAGCAGGCGCCGTGGTGGGGAGCACGCGGGGCGGGCCTTCCGGCTCTCCTGTTGGCTAGCTGGTGACCTTGGGCAGGTGTCTGACGCTGGGAGGCGAGGGCAGAGGCCATTGCTTAGTCATGTGACTGATGGACAGGTAGAAGCTTCCATGTGCTCCACTCCTGCCCTGTGCGTGGCTCCCACGGGCGTGTCAGCGGCGTTGTTTCATGAAATGCGCGTGAAGACGGCGGCCGGTGAGGCTGAGGCTCGGGGTCTGCGCGGACCCGCGGTCACACAGTGCGGGTCCAGGTGCTCTGTCTCCTCCGCACTCACCTGCCTCCCGGAAAGAGAGCTGGTCCAGCTCCCGCCCCGGGCCCAGGGCCCCCGCTTCTCTCCAGCCGGTCAGTTTGCATTTAAGGAAAAGTCCGCGAGCAACCGTAGCTCAAGCACCATGGCTCATTAAAAAAAAAAAATTAAATTTATCTTCCGACCGGACGATCTGTTTCAAAGGAATTGGAACCTGAAACGCTCGCGTGCCTCAGCGCCGTGCCGTGTGTCCTGCCTGGATTGTGTTTAACGAGCGTTTATCCGTTTTATCTTTTTACTTTATCCTCCTCCTGTCCCTGGGCCGCGTGTCCTGCTCCCTCTCCCTTCGTTATGTTCATTGGATAAAAGGAAAACTGTGCGTTTTGACGTTGGCCCCTGACTGTAATTTTGGAAAATAAATCGTGTTTAGATGGAAACTGTCATTTAGAATCCTTTCTGTAATGTCCCTAAACGTGAGACGATCCTCGAGGCTGCTGGCTTCTGTCCTCATCCGCCCCATCTACCTCCCCCTACACGGCGACTCACTCCTTCTTTCTCTAGGAGGAAGCGTGAGCACCTAAATAGTCAAGAGACCCCACTGACATTTTGGGCATTTTGTGTTCCCATTTAACCCTTAGAACAGCCTGGGAGTCAGGCTGTCACCCACTGAACAGATGGAGAAACTGAGACCCGGCTGTTAAGTGACTTGGCCGTGGGCACTCAGCTACCGAGTATCAGGGCCAGGAGGGAACATGGGCCGGGTCGGAGCCCTGACTCCAGGCTGTGCCCTTACCTGGAGATGCCAGGCCAGAGCTGGCTCCTGAGGCCTGGGGG